CCAGTCTGCTACCCACCTTCGTGATTACTGTTTGGTGAGATATGACAAACATTACACTCCTCTTCCACTCTATGGATTTGTCTTACTTTGCTTCGTTCCCTTGGTGCTAATGTGTATCACTTACTCCTGGTGCTTTGTGAAATCCCGTGTCGATGAGCTTGAAACCGCCTTGAAAGCAGATCCGGAAAACCCTCGCCGCCGGTCAAGGGTGACATCTCGTCGAGTGTTTCGTTGGTATTTAATACATCTCCTTGTACGATCTTTATGGGGAATTTTGTGTGTTGCTTTACAAAAGTCTTCGCTTTATCCCGCTGGATTTCCAGCAGAATTCGCTTGTGTTACCCCGACCGTAAAGCCAACTGTAAATTCGACGAATTCGAATGCAACCAAAGATTATTCCTCGGTCATGATCATCAACTGTGACAATTCCGTCGCATCAGACAAGAACTTGAATGCCACATTAATTTTGGTGGTAAATGTTGTGCTGGCGCTGCTGGCTTTTGGAGAGATGTTGTATCTTTTGGTACGAGCATTACACAGTAAAGAGTTCACCTTGGACTCTGAATTCTGTCAAAAACATTTTTGGAACAAGAAAACCCTTTCACTCACTCAGCGTCAGATGATTTACCGCATGAAGGAGCAAATTAAGAGGAAAACGGAAACCTTAGAGCCTTTGATTGCTAACTCCGATGATAAACTTAAGTTAGACGACACTTTTGTCGACCTTGTAATTTACACGGGAAGGGTGGAACACGATTTTGCTAACTTGTCTGGTAGACACGAAATATTCGATGTCTATTTCAAGCCACAACGTAAATCAGTGGCTATCAACACAGTTAAAGAGTTATTTCTTCCAATCAAAGATGCTCATCCAACCGAAGATACTCTTTCAATCGAAGATAATCTTCTAATCGAAGATACTCTTCCAACTGAGGATACTCAACATCCATGTAAAATTCTTTTGGTTGGTCGCCCAGGGATTGGAAAGTCCCTGCTGTGTAAGAAAATATCACGTGACTGGGGCAATGATGAGTTTCCTAACTTTCACCTATTTTATTTGATTCCATTTAGATGGTATAACAACGAGACATTACCGAATATATCTCTCAAAGAACTGTTATGTTGTTTACACCCAGAAGGCAGCAATGATGATGAGCTATTCCAATACGCTTTAGACAACCCTGAAAAAATAATCATTGTGTTTGATGGCCTTGATGAATTCAAGCACCATTCCCACTGTCAGGACGATGACGGACCACATAAAAATAATGCAATAAAACAAATGCCTCTGTCTGCTCTTTATATTAAGCTAGTGAAAGGAGAGCTGCTTCCAGGAGCCACAATTTTAACAACCAGTAGACCCAATGTGGTGCATAGGATTGCACACCTCATTGCAAATTACATTGACAGAGAGGTGGAGATAATGGGTTTTACACGCAAGAAGATCTTTCAGTATGTGCAGCAACGTTTTAAACATGACAAAGAGAGAGCAGATAGAATATGGAGTCATATCAGCAGCAGTTTGGAGTTTCTGTCACTATGCTACATTCCAGTAAACGCTCGCATCATTTGCTCTGTGTTGGAGGCACGCCTCAAACTCCAAGAAGACAATCCAACTCCCATGGCTTTGCCATCAACTTCAACAGAAGTTTACAAAGAAGCTGTGAGATTGTTTATCTTCAAGCATCATCCAGAATTTCAAGGTAAAACATTAACAGAGGACTTTCTTGTGAGAAATGATGAGTTCTCAGAGACTGTAAGGGAAACTTTGGATGGGGCAGAAGCATTGGCAAAAAAAGGACTAGAAGGAGAACAACTGGTGTTTGATTCACATGAAGTGCAGGGAATGGAGGATTGTGGTTTGTTTAACCGCATGCCAAACAGAAAAGATTCAGAGTCCAAATTTGAGGCACAATACTGCTTTCTTCACTTGACATTTCAAGAATTTCTGGCTGCAAGGGAAATTGCTAAAATGAACCCTGGTGACCTCAAGAGTTTTGTCAGAACAAATGCCTCAGACCCAAAATGGCATCTGGTGCTTCAGTTTGTAGCAGGTCTACTTGGTGATAAGAAAAATAAAGCAGTTATTGTTTTTGAAAACATGCTTTGTGAGTCCATGAACAAATCTGAATATAAAGAACAATCAAGGCAGATGGCTCTCCTCATGATGAAATGCTTGTATGAGTACAATGACGAAGACACAGTAAAGCAGGCTGCTTCTAAAATGCAGAGTAGTATCACATTTGACAACAGAATTAATATTGATCTGCATTTTCTTCAGGTCAATGATCTTGACTGTGCAGCAATTGTTTACCTGATAAAGCATCTCCTTGGAAACATTATGTTGCACCTTGATAATAATCAAATAACAGACGAAGGTGTACCATACTTGTGTGCTGCATTAAAAGATGAACATTGTAAACTCACAGAGTTGAACCTTGGTTCCAACAAGATATCAGAGCAAGGTGTATCATACCTGTGTGCTGCACTAAAAGATGAACATTGTAAACTCACAAAGTTGAACCTTTCAGTTCAACAGGATATCAGACAAAGGTGTATCACACCTGTGTGCTGCACTAAAAGATGAACATTGTAAACTCACAAAGTTGAAGCTTTATTCAAACAGGATATCAGAGAAAGGTGTATCACACCTGTGTACTGCACTAAAAGATGAACATTGTAAACTCACAGACTTGAACCTTGGTGCCAACGGGATATCAGAGCAAGGTGTATCATACCTGTGTGCTGCACTAAAAGATGAACATTGTAAACTCACAAAGTTGAACCTTAGTTTCAACAGGATATCAGACGAAGTTGTATCACACCTGTGTGCTGCACTAAAAGATGAACATTGTAAACTCACAAAGTTGAAGCTTTATTCAAACAGGATATCAGACGAAGGTGTATCAGACCTGTGTTCTGCACTAAAAGATGAACATTGTAAACTCACAGAGTTGAACCTTGGTGCCAACAGGATATCAGAGCAAGGTGTATCATACCTGTGTGCTGCACTAAAAGATGAACATTGTAAACTCACAAAGTTGAACCTTTGTTTGAACAGGATATCAGAGAAAGGTGTATCACACCTGTGTACTGCACTAAAAGATGAACATTGTAAACTCACAGTGTTGAACCTTGGTTCCAACGAGACATCAGAGCAAGGTGTATCAGACCTGTGTTCTGCACTAAAAGATGAACATTGTAAACTCACAGAGTTGAACCTTTGTTTCAACTGGATATCAGACAAAGGTGTATCACACCTGTGTGCTGCACTAAAAGATGAACATTGTAAACTCACAAAGTTGAAGCTCAATTCAAACAGGATATCAGACGAAGGTGTATCAGACCTGTGTTCTGCACTAAAAGATGAACATTGTAAACTCACAGAGTTGAACCTTTGTTCCAACGAGATATCAGAGCAAGGTGTATCATACCTGTGTGCTGCACTAAAAGATGAACATTGTAAACTCACAAAGTTGAAGCTTTATTCAAACAGGATATCAGACGAAGATGTAGCAGACCTGTGTGCTGCACTAAAAGATGAACATTGTTAACTCACAGAGTTGAACCTTAGATTCAACAGGATATCAGACGAAGGTGTATCAGACCTGTGTTCTGCACTAAAAGATGAACATTGTAAACTCACAAAGTTGAAGCTTAGTTTAAACAGGATATTAGACAAAGGTGTATCAGACCTGTGTTCTGCACTAAAAGATGAACATTGTAAACCCACAGAGTTGAACCTTAATTTCAACAGGATATCAGAGGAAGGTGTATCAGACCTGTGTGCTGCACTAAAAGATGAACATTGTAAACTCACAGAGTTAAACCTTAGTTCCAACGAGATATCAGACGAAGGTGTATCAGACCTGTGTGCTGCACTAAAAGATGAACATTGTAAACTCACAAAGTTGGACCTTAGTTCCAACGAGATATCAGACGAAGGTGTATCAGACCTGTGTGCTGCACTAAAAGATGAACAGTGTAAACTCACAAAGTTGGACCTTAGTTCCAACGAGATATCAGACGAAGGTGTATCAGACCTGTGTGCTGCACTAGAAGATGAACATTGTAAACTCACAGAGTTGTACCTTATGCAGAACAATACATCATACAGATGTGTACCACACCTGTGTGCTGCACTAAAAGATGAACAGTGTAAACTCGAAAATTTGGGCAGTTGGGGAAAAGTACATCATAGGAAAGTCTTGAACCCTACTGTCAACAATAAATCAAAACTAGGTGTATCACTTATGTAATGCACTGAAAGATGAACATAATAATCTAAATGATTTAAAGTATGCTCTCAAGACAATATGATACTAAGGTGTTTCACAGCACTGTGGTGCAATTGAAGTTGAACTTAGTCATTGTCATTCATGAAAACTATGAAATTGAACACAGCTAGTTTCAAGAATTATTCATCTTTAAATGCAAGTTTAAAACTGAATTATGGATGTTTCAAAAGGGAAGGGAAAAATATGAACTCCACAGCTCTTAGAGACATGTATGATGTCAAAGAGAGTGACCTGTGTTTTCTCTGATGATGTAAAAATTTCCCTCTGAACAGAGGCCTTTAAATAAATTGATTCTTTCATAAAATAATTGATAGCCTATGTGCACCATAATTTGTTTATAGGTTTTTTTTTTGACAAGAGTGTGTAAACATGATTTTGATGTTTTAGATTTGTTGCAGCATATCAGCTCCTTGTTTGATAAGGTCAAAAGTATTTAATTGCAAAAGAAGACAGAGAGAAGAAAATAATTTAGCATCATCATTACTACCAACCAGAAAGGCAAGAGTAAATGTTCAGTTGCAATTGAAAACCTAGTCTTTTGTTGATCCTTTTGGAGTAGAACTGAGATCTTACCGAGTGACAAGGCAGGGCTTCATTAAGAAACAAATCTGGGCATTAGAACAGAGATGTGGAAAAACGCACCACGTATGAGTCCACTTACCGACATGATGGATTGGGAAACAGAAAAGGACGAAAAGGTTGCCAGTCGTTTCTGTGGTATCCTCTTTCGGTTGACATTGAGACCTGCTAGTCAGCGGTCAAAACTCTCTTGAAATTTTTCCCGCCAAAGTAATCGCATGCGCAATTGCCTTCTTTGATCCGAATTTCCAAGATGGCTGCCGCAATGGACGACAGGAATCGATCATTAAAACAGGCCCTCATAGATAGCCTGACAGCCATTCTGTCGCCAGATCAACAGTCTAGACAGATGGCTGAAGAACAGCTCAAGGTTCTCGAGGTCACAGAAGGTTAGATTTGTGAGTTGCTTTAAATTCACTGGGAACGCAGTGCTCTCCTAAACATCAAAATGGGAAACGTGCTGGTAGATGTACATTTCACGAAATGGTCACTTGTATGCTAGCCGGATACTTTGAGCTCAGCTGGTTTAGTGATTGTCATTTAGAAATAATAAGCTACGTATTCTGACCGTTCTAAGGCTCCCATGTGTATTTCTATTCATGCAAGTCAATGAAAAAACTTTCAAGAAAGCTGAAGTAAAAAACTTCAGTTTGCAAGCAAACTTTCTGAAATAAGGTCTTAATGGTTTCCCAAGCCGCCGTTTGTGTGGAAACCAGTCTACAGAACTCAGTTTATCTGCATTATTACCACGAAACCCTAAATAAATCGGTAATTTTGCTGTCAACTTCAAATTAACGTATGCACAGTGTATTAGGACAGTAAGTGCATAAGTTTCTCATGTTGCAGTTATTGCCTAGTATGCATTATGTATGCAAATGTTTTGCATTCTTCATTCAATGAAAAAACTATTGAGTGGCTTGAAATGTTGTTCATTTGGTTCCATTCTCTATCAGTGGTACCTTTGGGGGTCTGGTAGCTTCCTTTTTAGCGACCTTGGATTACTGTTTTCAATTGCTTTCTGTAGTTGGACAGAATCCTCAATAATTTACAATGTTAGTTCAATGGCAAACCAAAAAAAATTATCCTTCTTTACTTTATTCCCACATGTGGTGCTTTTGATACTGCTGGTGTTAGCACTATGCATAATGCTTCTCACATCTTCCCTTAGTTAGTTCAGGTTGTAGAACGAAAAACTGTTGTGTGGTAGGGCTAAGGTTCAAGCCCCAGAGGGGACCAATGCTCAGGGTCTTAAAATAACTGAGAATAATGTGTTGCCTTTGCTATGACATCTGCAAATGGTTAGATGTTCTAGTCTCCTTGCATAAGGATGATAAATTTTAGGCTCCTTCTCCTGCATCTTTTTTATACTGGTTAGCTGGGGATGTTAGAGAACCCAAGCATTTCTCATAAAGATGAAGGAACATAGCTCTGGCTGTTGTGATCTGGCCATGTTTCCAAAAATTCCAGGCACCTTCTAAACTTCCTTTGAAAAAATATAAACTGCTCAATGCAGTTTGGCCAAAGTGGTAGGCAAAGTGTTGCAAAGTCTGTGAGAGCAAATTAACATGGAGAATATGCTCTATAAATCCACTATCATCATCATGAATTCATTGCAATCATTGCCCAGCACAGCAACAAGTAATTTGTGGCAAAAACTTAGATCTTTACATGAGGATTTCTCGCAGTAATGGCTTAAGTTTAGAAACTTTTTCACTTTACTTGCTGAACATTTTCTCACAAGAAAAACCTAGATTTATGTAACTTCAAAGATTCATACAACATTGTTGAAAAAGTCAGCCAAAATTTTGAGGCTTCAGTAATAACCCCTGTCTAGAGAAAACTTCCTAATCTGGTGGTGAAATCTGGACTTCTTCATGATTAAGTAATCCTTCTGTTTTAGTTTTTAAGACCAGACTCAACAGATCTACTGATAATGTAATGATCAACATGTTCCTGTAAAAACTACCATATAATCTTTTCCTCTCCCCTTCCCATTTCAGATGGTCTTCAAAACCTCTCCTCACTGATCAAGAAATTGCAGTCTTGCTTATCTGTTCTCTTTCATTATTTTACATGTGCAGCATCCAAACCCTTCTTACAACTCCTCATAGTTTGCTAGATGAGAGACAATTGCTAATCAAAGTTTTAACTTTACTTCATAATTTTTAGAATTTGGTGTCCATTTAGCAGAACTCACAGTTGACAGAGAGGGAGCTCTTGCTATCAGACAGGTCAGTGACAGCATTTTTCAAAATAATAAGTAACAGCAGAGAGATGTTGTAATTTCATTAAAGTATTTTGTGGATTAATCACAATTAAGTCAGCTTAAAAACCAGATGGCTCATCTTGTAGATTTAATAAACAGAGAAATCTTTTCACTCCCCACTTCTTGAGTTGGGAGAAATGCTCTATACTCTCATAAAGCAAACTACCATAAGCCAATTGGAATCCATGGTAGTATGGTTGAAATAATCTGATTGGTTGAACAAGACTAAAGCTGTCAAAAAATGTCAAACTATCAAAGTTCACAATCTGCCATAATTCATAAACTGAAGTAGTTTGGCAGTTTGAATTTAACACTTTTGCCGAAAGCTTTTTAGTCTTAGTATGGATTCTGAAAGTAAAATGTACAGTGAAATCTGGCTGAATTGTGGCTAGAAAAAACACAAGTTTTTTTTCACATGACAATTGGACAACAAACTGCTTAAGGCTTATTTGTTATGAATGAACAACAACTGAATTGACAGGAAGACTAAGCTTGCTTGGGATGATAGTGCCATAAAACTTGGCTGCTGTGACTAATGTGGCCTTCCACTCAACACATTGGAAAGGATTTCCAACAAAGCTCTTAGTTGTTCACTCGAAGGGCAGCTGATGTAATTTCTGAGGCTTGCTTCACTGTGATGACCATAGATCATCATGATTAGCTAGTGGCAATGGACCTCAATGTGATGACATCGGCTCTGATGCTGTCATGGTTTGCTTGAATTGTAACAGTTATGCCAGTTGGACTATATTTTTCATTATCATGTTTTATTCTATTTTGTTTTTCTATTATGCAAGAATTGGCTGTGTTTTATTTTTATATCACAGGTATACATTATACTATAGGTATTACAATCTAACTGAGCATGATAACATTGAAAACTCGGACTGTCCATTTTGTTTCCTCTAAATGAGGAATTTTTCATCTCTGTTCACATCATTATAACCTCAATTACAGGGCTGGGCATGTTTACAAACCTTTGTTTGGTTCTTCTTGTGCTACTTGGTAGCTCACTTGTTCCGAACTTTCACTTTCAGTTAATGAAAAAAGTCTAGTCTAAGAGAAAAGTTTGGGAAATGGTTGGACATAGTAAAAATTGCTGAAAGCTTTAGCTCAGCTCTGTGCTTTGTGCTTTGATAGACAGCATGCTTTATATCCAAACTTTATATCTGAACTTTATATCCAAACTACTTGGATTGTATGATTGTATCAGGTTTCCCACAGACAGCTTCTAGATCCAATTTATGATTCTTTGTCAGGTCAAAGGCATTGATAGAGTTACACGTACATGTAAATGTCGCATGTTCGAAAAAAACTGATAACCTTGCCTGTCAGCTTGCTTGGTTGGTCAGTTTTTTCTTGTAAGTTCACTAAAGGATGAATCTACACCAATTTGATGTTATTACTATTTCTTTTAACTGTTTCCATCAAGCTTACATGAATATTAAGTCTGATTGAAAAATAGTCTTTTGTTTATTTATTGTAACATAGAGTGAAAAATTTTATATTTTCTTTAAACATAAATCATTTTCAGCTTGCCTCAGTCATTCTAAAGCAGTATGTTGAAGCCCACTGGAATAGCAGTGCTGAGAAATTTAGACCTCCAGAGACTACAGATGCTGTAAGTACATTTTGAGTATATTTCAAGTCTTACACTGTAGTAAATGTAAATCCTCTCTGTGGAGCAATTTAGTGAGTTTTCTTTTTCAAATTCCATTTACAGGTGTATGGCTATTTTCATTTTTTTAACTCTTTAAATACCTTAAAGGGAGAAGTTTCTCCTATGAGATAGAGTTTCTTCTCAAAAATATCAGTTAGGACTATATAAGTTGACTTAATACCAAATTCTCAGCACTTATGTCATATGAATTGTATGGCAGACAGTAAGGAGAATTAGTACTAAGATCTTGATGGTGGAAAGGTTAAAGAGGGTAGTGTATTGGAGAGGTTGATTCTTGGAGGGAGGGCTGGTGAAAGATTGGGTGTTTTAAAGTGAATTCTCAGAAATAAGTATTGTATAGTGGCATATTGTTGTTCATTGTTTTTAGAAGCATTGTTGTTTACCATGAAAACTTGAGGTTTTAATAGCCAAATTCCTTACTACGCAATAAGTATAGGGGTGCTGTACAAATGAATAAGTAATATAAGCAAATAGACACAAAAGACTCAAAACTGTGAACATCAAATTATGCAGTTTCCAGTACAGAATGTGTGGCATGTTACTTATAAAGTTCTCTGCATGGAGTATCCAGTATTTTAATTTATGGTATACAACAGGCAGTTCTATACTAAGGAATAGTATAATAGTCTTCTCCACATGTTCAGTAGAGAGAAGGCAACCATAAGGTGTAAAGCAGGGTAGGGATTCGTCGTCTTTTACCAGGAGGTCTACAGGAATCAATCAGTAAAGTCAGGTCAAGTGTGGTAAGTTGTTTTCATGTTCAAAGGGTAATCTATTGTGAGAGGTTATTCTTGGCATCTCTCATGATCAACTTAGCATGGAAGGTACATCCTCATGGCTGGGGGGAAAACTCAAGTTCCAGAAGCACTTTCTTGTGTGTGACTGTTTTTACTGGATGACACCATGAGTTACCAGTTACCCTATTAGTTACAATGAGTAAGCAGGTTAAAGAGAGAAAATGGCATTGAGACTTACAAATGTAAATTTGCAAAGACCTAACTCTCAATGTACTTTTGAAAGTTTAAAAAATCTCTTACTCCATAAGAAAAAAGTGATAGTAGATTCACAGTCTTCTAATTATATTTGTACATCTGTAAGTCTTCCTCAACACTTGTAGATTTATACTTATTTCCACTATATATTTTCAGGCATATGCAATCTCAGCCATAGCATATTGGGATTGGCCAGAAGCTTGGCCGCGTTTGTTTGGGAATCTGATGCAAGCATTGACAAGTGGGGATGGCAATTTGGTTCATGGAGCCATGAGAGTTTTAACAGGTATGAAAAACTGTACTTCACTAATTAGGGGTGAAGGAACAGCTACTGGAAAATGGAAGCTTTTGAAATGGTGTCCTTCCAACTTGTTCAAACAATGGTTAACACTTTCACTCCAAGATTTTAATATCCGTTTTCCCGAATGTTTGCCAGACATTATTTTCTTATAACTTTAGTTAAAAAATTTGGCTTTTTGTCCCAATATTATTTTTTGCACTTCTCATCACCTTTCTGCTGAATATTGTTTGGATATTTTTAGGAGAAATTTGACTTTGTTCACACCTGGGAATGAAAAGGTTAGAAAAACCCAAGGTCAACTGCCCCTTATGTCTAAGGAAATGTGCATTGTGAAGTAGGAGACTGTAATATGAGAGTAAGGAAAGTTTAAATTGTAGATTTTGAAATAGAGAGAAATGCTTATTTGTAATGCACTTGCATAATTTTGGATGTCCATTGTAAGTATTGTTGTCTAGCCTGTTAAGGGTTTCTATTAAGTCTCACTTATTTCTGAGTAGCAGTGTAAAGTGTTTGTGAATCTATCCTTAGAGTTCTGCCGTGAGGTGACAGACACACAGATGCCTCATGTTGCGCCTGTGATCCTGCCTGAAATGTACAAGATATTCATTCATGCAGAGGTATGTTGGTGGAAATTGTGCACTATCTGTTCAAATCATGAGGGGACGCAAGCGGCCTCAACTGTAAGTACTGTTTAGAAATGCTTGGATATTATTCTAGCATTCCTAACATTCTGAGCTGCGCAAGTGTCAAAATCCATGTGTATATCAGAAATGTCACTAGACCTAAAGTACGCCAGATGAGGGCGAATAAATATGAGAAGATAAATGAATTAATGCCTGATATCAAAATGTCATCAGCTAATGCTTTTGTTTCACATGCAATCAATAGTGCCTTTATTCCTTGGCCGGTTCCTTTGTGTTACATTGTAGATTATAAAGAGAAATATATCCACACGATTTATTCACCCTCATCTGGCATACTTTAGGTCTAGTGACATTTCTGTGACATACACACGGATTTTGACACTCTTGCACAGCTCAGACTGTTAGGAATGCTAGGATAATATCCTAGCATTTCTAAAAAGTACTTACAGTTGAGGCCACTTGCGTCCCCTCATGCATCTGAAGATTGAAATGTTGTTGAGGTCTGCATACCTGTATCAACCTCTCAACATGACGTGGTGTGGTCATTGGTGTTTGAATGTTTTTTCTAGATGTACAGTATCAGTACAAGATCCCACGCCGTGGATATATTTAATACTTGTGCATTACTAGTCTGTGCAATGGAAGATGCTACAGTGAGATCATTTGCCACTTAAGGGAATTGGGTCCAAGATTATTCTTTTTCTTTTGCCCTCTTGTGGGATTTTGAATGGAATGCTGGTTACCAGGGTTGAGTTCTTATTTGTGAATGAAATTTAACCCCTACTCTTGGTCAGACTCTTCCTCTCCTAAAGGAAGTAAATCTATTACAAAGACAAAAGTGTGCTTATGTAGGACCATTCCATCATCGTTTCTATATTATTTTCACAAATATAGAAGGGGAAAAATAGGTTTGGGGAAAAAGAAATTACTCACTTGGCTACTGGTACTGGTTTTTGTTTTTGTTTTTGGTTTTTTTTGGGTGGGGGGGGAAATGTTGAACAGTGGCATTAGGGAATTTTGAGATCTTGGAATCATACAGGTTTTTTTTTAGGGAGGGGGTTCTGGGGAAATCCTGTTAGGGTAGAGGGGAAGGTAGACAGGTAGTTTGTTTCTGTTGCTGTCAGAAGAGGTGGAATTTTCTTTTCAACTTAACATGAATTCTTATAGATTTACCAGAGTGTGCTGAGCATTAAATGTTCTTACCTCTGGTTATGCTTTGGTATTTATTGTGATATGGAAGCTGTCAGACTAAAAGTTTTGCATGCAAGCAGTAGTATTGCAATTTTGTTTGTTATTCATTTTTAATTAGAAATTGGACAATATTTTTAACAAATTCTCATTACAGGGTATTACCAAGGATGTCCTCTTTCCTCTTCTTCCACAATTCACCCAAGCATTTGTTGAAGTTCTGGCAATGTCTGATAGTTCCACACTTGAATGTGGCCTGAAGATGGAAGTGCTAAAGGTTGGTTTTTGATTAGTCTGATTTTATATAGCAAACCTTTTTCTGTGTTTATTGTATGGATTGCTTCCTTATTCCTTGTTTCATGGTATGCTGGCTTCCTTTTGTAATTACACAATCCACACTACCTTTGGCTGGGAATGAGAGCAAGAATGTAGGCCTGCAATGCATGTATGAATTGAAATTTATTGCTTATATCATATCATTATCTTATGCTATATATGCATACTTGGTACAATGGATAAACCTTCTCCTTACAAGCCAAGAAGTTAAAATGTTTTTTTTTCAAAATTTACATTCCTCATCAAAAGCATATGAATTTCTCATTCCATCCAGAAAGTCACTATTTTTTGTGCAATCATTGGCATTCAAGAAATCAATTATTGAAGCACGGCTTTTTTTATTTACTTTTCCTGCTCAGAAAATGACATGCTTCAATCCCAAAGATGAAAATTCCAGGAAGTGTATTAAAGATTCCAAATTCCCTTTTCCTTTCTTTTTGTAAATCACCAATAAACTCAACATATCAGCTCTGGTTCATTCATTGTACTTGTCATAATTGAGCACTCTTATTCAGTGTTAATCTAAGCTACTGTCCATCTTGTATTCATTAAAAAACAAAATGTCATTCACTTTATCCCCATTAAGGCATTAATGACATTGGTTAAGAACTACACGAAGCAAATGGCACCACATTCATTGAACAACAAAAATTGTGCTGAAAAAAATCAGTTTGTGCAACATTACCTCTTCTTACCATCACTACTTTTTCTTTTCTTGTGTCTTAGGAGAAGTGTTGGGATTTGAGAATCTTGTTTTCAGTGTTTTTGAGTTTATCTGTGGACTTACGGAAACACCAAAATGCAAGAAAACTGTCAAGAAGTTTTTAGATGAACTTGTTCATTTCTTAGTGTTGTACATGCAAATCACAGAAGAGCAGGTGGGTTTTGTTTTTCATTTTTATTTCCAGCCTATTATCTCTAGTCTATTTTGCACTCACATAATCAACAACAGGTGGCTTCTAGATACTTGTCACATTGATCAAACGATAACCTCTTTTGTTGTTATTTGCCTCCTTCAAGGCAAGTGTGGACATCCAATCCAAATCAATTTGCTGAAGATGAGGATGATGACACCTTTTCGTTTTCTGTTTGCATTGCAGCTCAAGATGTTCTCTTGGTAAGTGAATGGAACAGCTTCAACATTCAATTCACACCTTCAGTCTTAGTGCGCACACTGTTTTCTTATGGGGCTCACTTATTATGTTACAATTGGCTGATGGTGCGTAATTTACCAGTGCATTACACAAGATTGCGTTTGATTTCAATACACCCATTGGTGTGTTTCAAGCATGTAAATTGGATGTGAAACACACACACGAGATGTGCTTGTAATAATTTTATAAACGTGTCCAGGTAATTATATCTTGAAGTGGTTTCAAGGAATTGTAACAAACTTTTGCATAGTCTTCAACTGATATTTTGTAGGTGTTGCTGCTGACTTTGTAAAATGAAAGTGCAGTCACATTGACAAAAGCACTCAACAAACATTTACAGGAATCAAATGAAAGAAAAAGCCAAGGAGATGTTAATTGGTAAGTGTGATGAAGTCAAACTGAGTTGAGCATGGGTGGTCTTCTTGCCTCAAATGATGGTTGTGGCTGAAAGACAGTGATGGCCTATTATAATACCCAAGTTTTAGTGTGGCTTGAGTGCACACAGGCAGAGACTCCATATCTAAGAAAACATGGTAACCATAAGGCTGGAGAATATGTTGTTATGCAATGTGTCTGATCATCCTTACTGATTTCCAATTGACTGACTGGCTAAAAGACAGTCATTACTTAATATAAATGCCTTAGTCTTTGCATAGCTTGAGAGTGTACAAGCAGAGGCTCTCCACCTAAGAAAATATGATTACCAAAAATATGCTGGAGAATTTGTTGTCATGAGATGCATCTGACCATTCTAAGGAACTGACTTACTATTAACTGACTAGCTAAAGAACAGTTATGGCATACTACAATGCCCTAGTCTTAAGTGTAGCTTGAGTGGTTCTTTTTTTTTTTTTTTTTTTAATTCTTGAAATTCTCCAGTCTTTCACGAGTTTATCTTTGAGCTCTTACCTTGTTAACATTTCTCATGTTCAGCTTCATCAAAGCATTCATCAAAGGTCTTCAGTCAGTACAGTTGCCTGCAGTTCGAATATCAGCTGTAAGAGCTATTGAGGAGTAGTTGAACCTTTTTTTTTTTTTTTTTTTGACTTGTTATTCTTTTATTGAAGTCAAGAAATTGTTGGCTAATGTAGACAAACACTACTTCAGTGAAAAAAAGATACCAGCCATATCCCCCTGAAAACCTGGATTCTGAAAGGCATAAACCAAGATGCAAAATTCTAAACTGGGATTAATTTTTGTCACACTAAAGGGCCAAAATGCAAGTAAGTTTTTTGAACTTTGCACCAACTTAGTTTTTAAAAGAAGAGCCAATAAGATACTAACCACTGAGATGTTTCTTTTAACCCTTAATTCTCAAGATCTGATAGTTAATTCTCCCCTCTGGCTGCTACAGATTTCCTTGTAAATTAGTTATGAGAACTTGGTGTCAGATCAAGATAACTACTTCTACCTGATAAATTTGAGTATTCTCATTACCTATTTGCTGGATATGATATTATAGGGAGAACTCAGATGTTTATCACCTCCAAAGGGTTAAGCTTTGACATCATGTGTCGCCAATTAGTCTTGTAGTCCTGAATTTTAGTGAATTTTTGCAGATTCTGTGCCCACCTTAAGATGTCAAATAATACACAGATCCTAACAACTTACCTTGTCAAGATCATGGAAGTGTTACTGACCTTGGCGACTCAAACAACAGATGATGGGCTAGCTCTCATTCTTGAGTCTCTTAGAATAGTCATGTTGATGAGATGATGGCTAAGGATTGTTTTGTTGGAGCAATTTTCAGTTGAGTTTTGAAAGTAATTGGGATTTGCATTGTCCATGCTTCACTGCCATTTGTGATTGGTCTCTAAAATTTGTGGCACCCTCTCAATCAGTCAGATGTTAATCTAATATAAGACACGACCTAGTCAATTGCCTTTTTGCAGCCTATGTTTTGCCATATTCCCACCCCCCCCCCCCACCCAGGAGTTTTTCAGCTAAAAGTAGGGTAGCATTTTGGAATCCTTATTAATGGCTCCTTTTGCTTTCTCATTCTATTTTGATAGGCTGGTAATAATTGTCAATGCTAAGCACCTGTCACTAGTAATGAACGAGTAGTTGATTTGTATTAATAAATACCTTTAGAGAGTTATCTGACAATAGTTACTCTGTAGTATGTGAATTTTTACCTCTGCAGATCACATAAAAATATTATTTAAAAATGTTGAGTGAATTAATTGAATAAGTATGACATTGAAACAGATCAAAGCCTAGAAATCTTTTCAGAGAAGGAGTAGTGCCCATTGGAGAAGGAAGCTTGAAGAAGAGGAGGCTCAGGAGCATGTTCAAAAGTTTATACAGTATAACAAATTAAACATATCAATTTGACCCTTTAACTCTCAGAAGTGATTAACATGCAAATTCTCTCTATAATATCCGTACATTGTCCAGCAAACAGGTAATGAGAGTACTCAAACTTATCAGGTTAAAGTTATTATTCCAATCTAATGCCAAATTCTCATTACTAATTTACAAGGAAATGTGTAGTAGCTACCTGTAGAGGGGAGAATCAACGGTCAGATCTTGGGAGTTAAAGGGTTAAACAATTTAGTGACTCAGTTCTAACTGAGGACACTGTAAACAGAGAGTTGAGGAGTAGATACAACACAAATCATTAAAAAAAATTCCCAATAGGTGGGACATTATCTAGTTAGCTTTTTGAAGATCATACACACACCTTGGTTTCATATTGAAAACTAGTTCCAGAAATTGCACATTTGACAAAGGCATCAGATGTGTTCCTCAGCGTGTTTCCAGCCTTGATGTTGAATGCTTTGTGGATGGTTACTATCAGAGTTTCAGGTTCTTCATATTCAAGACTGATTTTTAATTCTCCTTTGATGCTGAAATCAGTCTGCAAATAAAGGTTGATGAAAATGAGCCTATAAACCTAATCATAAAAATTACAATTCCTTGATTGTGATTGCTTTCAAAAACTCCTTTTATCCGCTAATTCACTTGCCAAGTTGTTTTTGGATAGCTTGTTATTGGACAGCTCAATAAGCCAATCACATTCATAGTGTAGTTTAAATCAAAATTTTCCTTTCTTTCTTAACTTGGCTATTCGTCTTTTCTCAGAAATTGTAAGTAATTTTTTATGATTAACAGGTAATAAGGCTTCACGTTGTCCACTTAGGTCTGTAACTTCACTCTCCACTCAGTCCTATTACCATTGCTTATTCTGTTATCATCATTTTTTTGTTTCATCAACAAGTGTATTCTAAATATAGACCTTAAGATTCAAAAATGAGATATCCTCAAAGTCTTAAACTTTCCAACCACAAAACAGTGGGTAAGCACAAATCTCTGTTATTTTCAAATTAGTGGGAAAAGTACAATGACCCTTGACATTATCCCTTAGGTTGAGTTTTTACAAAAATGGTGCTGTAGCCTAACAAGATACCAACAAGTCAGCAGTCTCATAGTTTTACAGCAGAGAAAGAGTTTGATTGTATCTGATGGCAAAAGCTCTGCAAAGTAAGTTGCTCAAAATGTGCACAATAGAGCTTCATTAGGGATATATTCCATTTGTATTTAACATAA